CCTGGCATTTAAAAATAAATAAATAAATAAATCGGTCGAATCTGAATCCGAAGCGAATACTAGCTGCTTTGCACAGGCCTAATTTTCAGGTTTAATTCACATTAGATCATCTACCAAACAGCATATCTTCCTCCCCCAACACCATAGACAAAAGTCAGGCATGATATTCTTTCTGTACATAAAGTACTACTATTGTCAAGGTTCCTGAAAGGCTGCTGGGATCGTTAAGTTACTTACCTCTGTAGAGTTGTCTTGCAGGATCCTCCCCGTCAGGGATACCAGTATTTTACACACATTACACTTGATGCTTTTCTGGGAAAGATGGAAAAGTATTTTGAGAGGGATTTGCATGTTGGTAAACATAAGGGAAGTTTATTTTCTCTCTGTCTCCATATTATAGAGTGACAGTTGAAGCTAACTTCTCATCTGAGGCACAAATTTCAACCCCCTTCTCCCCCAGCCTTTAAAAACTCCACATCTTGAAATCTCATACAGCCTATCTAATCCACAGCTGAATTTCTCTGAGAATTCTTTTGTCAGGACAATGGATCAGAAATGGTGTTTCAAAGGTATTGTGGTTTTACTGAGGAGAAGTATGTTTCAGTGACGTTTTGGGAATGAGAGAAGAAATATAATGGAGGTAAGACTATAAGACCTGGTGCTTGATACATATATAGATAAACAGACTAGTATATAAATATAAGAACTTCTGCCATACACTGATCTGCTGATGGGAGAAGAAGAAGGCATGGCTGGGAGGGGAAGACGGGGTAAGCAAGAAGGAGTAAAAGGGGTGGGAGGGAAGGGGCTGAGAGCTGGGGACAAGAGAAAGCAGCACAGAGACCTCCCCTCCTGTCTGAGAGCAGGGGAGGTAGAAGAAAGGAAGGAAGAACTGGCTTAAGATGGAGTAGGAGATTGAAAGAGAAAAAGTCTGAGTGCAAGGTATCTGGAAGAGGGCATAGGAGAGGGGGCACAGGGTAGAGGAAAAGGACAAGCACCACAGAACGAGGCTAGAAGACTGAAGAGGAGAGAAGGGTGGAACATCATCCATGATGAAAACTGTAAATATGTAGAATACTAGAAAAAAAATACAGCAAGCACCACCATTTTACTGAATGGATAAAGCTTCCCTTCTCATATTCCATTCCCCTTAACGTCTACTGTTCCCATATCCCTGTCGAGCACAACTCCTACCCCCACCTCTACATACCTCTAAAGGACCTACCAACATCTGTATGGGGAGCCACACTTGGCTGAGTCACATGAAATCTATTCAAACAGAGTATCCCCAAGCAGGATGAAACCTGTAGCAGTAATAACAAATCCCCAATAATACAGAGTGAAAATCTCCCAGTTCAAAGGCATTAAGTAGGGATGAAAGTGTGTCTCGGAAAAATCCAGCTACACATGCAAAACAGTATGGTACTTCATTTATAAAATGCAGGGATTCAGTTTTTGCCTGCATACCGCATTAAGAAAGAGGGAAAAGATGCCATTGCTTGACTGGGTACAACATGAGAGAATGTGGGAAGAGGACAATGTAGGATGTAGGAGTCACAAAACTGCAGAAGGCAAGAATTCTTGTGGGTGATATCTTTTACTGGACCACTGGTATGGTTGGTATAGATACAGGCTGCAGAAGATCAGATCTGCCCACAATGGTCTAATAGCCCAGGATAAGGAGAACACACTGTCCAAAACCATTATTGCTATGTCAAACCCAGTTTTTGTAGGCCAAAGTCATCTCTACATTTCTGCCTGTTTTGCCAAGCATAGCCAGAAGGGATCCCATTTCTCTGTAACTGGTTGACAGACATAGGACTCAGTTCCCGCTTACATTAAGGCTATTTTCACTTCTCTAGCAATATAAAAAGACCTTAAAGAGGGATTGTGAATGGCCCTAGAGAGGTCTCCAGGGAAAGAATTTTTGTAAAGACTCTTCTCCAGTCTTGTTTCCAGTGTCCAACATAATCTTGAGGACTTGTTAGAACAGGCCGAGGAGGTGATCAGAGTGCACTGCGCTACACCAGTTCTCTGCCATTCAAAGATAAGGGCTCCTGAGAAGCAGAGCAGCCCCAGCCCTGACTCAAGCTTACAACAGAGAATGAGCAAAGCCCTGAACAGCCCCAGAATGTGGAGGATAAAGATAACTTAAAACCATCTTAATCACCCATCCTTTTTCCAGCCCCAACCACAAGGCTCATAAACTGAGAATTGGGCCCTCTGTCTTTCTGCATGCAGCATCCTGTCAGTTTCTACTGCTTATACTAAGTTATAGTTTTTCCAGCACACTGAGAATAATTATTACAGACATCTAGGCTATTGTAACTATTTCCCTCAGTTTCCCAAGAAGCATTGCACAGAATTCTTAGGAAAACTGAGGATTTTATACACATTCCAGTTTATTAATTATTATCAGCAGCACTTCGCACTAGGTTTTTCCAGGAAGCCAAATCGAAGTTGATGGCAAGGACTTCTAGAAACACTGAGTGGGCAAGAAACTGGCAGATGAATGACAGTGTTGACAAGTGTGAAGTAAATGTACATAGGAAAAAAAGTCCTCAGTTATACATACACAATGCTGGGCTCTGAACTAGCAGGAAAGAGACTTTGAGGTCACTGTCAAGGCAGGATAGTGAGCTAACTAAGCCATTGGCCTGACCCAGTATGGCACTTCTTATATTCTTACGTTCTTATCATCAGAAGTCCTACAAATTCTCCAGAATATGTGGCCTAATATGATCACTGAAATAATGCTTTGTCTCTAGCTGGTGTTACAGTTATACATTCATGTCTGTACACTTCAAGGGTCTGTTAGATTAGGGGCAGTCTGTAATAGGATTGGTGTAATCCATTTAGTGTGACAATACCGTGGCAAGAGAGCTAAGTCTAGAGCCGATCAAGAATTTTTCAAATTATTTTGTTCACCAAAAAAATTCCCATCATGGAAACCCAAACTGTTCATAAAACAGGGGCAGCTTTGATGAATTTCCTGTTTTAAAAAGTTAGTGGAAGAAAAGTTTAGGGTCTTTTGACATTTTTTACAAGAAAGTTTTTAGCGTTTGCAAGTAAAAGCAACTTGTTTTGAAATTTTAATAAAATTAGAAAAAAGCTCATCTTTGAAACCCAGATTGTTAAATTGACCTTAACTGAACACTTTTCAGATTTTCAGTGCATGACAGTTTCTGAGATTTTTACTTGCCAGACTCATTAAGGATAGAAAAATATTTTGAAAATTTTCATAGGATGGCAAAAATGTTCCTTCTCCAGCTATAGTAAATCAACTGATCACTCCCCACCATCCCCCCAGTGAGAGCATTCCCCTAGTGCAGTCCTGTTGGTTTTGAAGAAAGATGCAACACAAGATTTTTGGAAGAGACAAAGAACTACCTGGGAATGGAAGTCAGATGTCACCTTGGCCCCCTAACTACAAACAACAGCATGTAAAAATACCAAGTGTACTGAGAAGAGAGCGTATCTACTGCTCAGACAGCACACTCACCACGGGCTGCTGCTTCCAGACAGTCTGCTGACACTGCTCCACGGCCCCACATTCCACTGCAGTCTGCAGATCCTGACACCAGCTCTCAGGGCCTCCTGCACAATCTTTCTGCCAGGAGAGGGGGCTTGCTGCCACTGCCAATGAAAAAGGAAATCAATATTCAAACTGTACCGCTAAAGAACATATAAAGTTACTCATATTATTCCATATCTAGGCCTTGCCTACCTTGCTATAGTCAGATACATGTTAATTGCACATCTATGCTTAAGGGTCTGATGATAGCACAAGCTAATTCAGCATTGTGCATGTAGTTGGTTCCTCAGCTTGGTCAATGCTATCAGACACACCAAGTCCAAAAATCTCCAGTGAATACAGGGAATGACACCTCCTGCACAGAAGAACCCCTTGGTTTGAATGCATTCAGTCTAAAGCAGCATTTCTCAAATGTGGGTCGCGAGAACATATCAAAAGGCTTGCAAACAAACTTTAAAAATGGATTCTCTTCTCTTTTAAAGGAGAAAAATATGGGAAACCATGGCTTTTCCCTTGCATGCGCCGCCCCTCCCCCCCCCCCAAGCCCCACACACGAGGAGTCTGGGGCCTGAGGTGGGGGGCAGTGGGTTGGGAGTGAAGGGCACTGGGTCAGGACTGCCCACTGATGTTTACAAATGGGTCCTGGTACAAAAAAATTGAGGACCACTGGTCTAAAGCAATATGAGAAACCATCTGAAATAGTTTGTGTGAAATTTGGAAAGAGAGTTCCAGAAACTGAGTTACAAATCTTTCTACTGTACTCGGCCCCCAGCTTCCCAGAAGCCTCTGCCACAGCCTCCTCTCATGCACCATTTGCTCTGAAGGGTGCTCTGAGGAGGCCTTTTCATTGTCACTAAAGGGCCTGTTTCCTTTGGATTTCCTGCTTAAAAACTGAACTAAGACTTCAGAATGACTTGTAGGAAGTTTTGCAGGTATTTTCCCTTTGAGCTGCACTGGTTCTCATAAGGGGATAGACAATTCAATAGACAATTTCTGAACAACCATCAAGATATGTGTACATTTTACAAGGGTAGTATCATATAAATGCATGGATACTTACCTTTGGAAGTCCCCTATTAATCTCTTTACAGTTTACTCAACCCACCAGCTACCAAGCTTAACCGCATGAGAAAGTCATTCCTTACCACCCCTTCAATGTGTTTTGAAATCAGGTTTTGCAACAATATTCTTTTTACTAGAACAAAGACTTTACTCATGCAGTAAGAGCTATCCCCAGCCCACACCATGTTCACTGACTGGTCAAACCGGCTAAGGAAAACTTATTATTTGGTGCCCCAAACCTGCTTCTTCCCTTCTTGCCTGTAAAAAATTAAAGTGCATGATAAGCATCCTTTAGTGCAATTCACAGAAGGAGAGTAAGTAATGCTTACTAACAATCTGTCCATTTAAGTTCCAAGAGGGCAGAAAGCAGAACAGTCTGGCACCTTTAAAGACTGACTAGTTTAGAGAGGAACAAGTGCCAAGAGTTTCCTCCGAAGTTATGTGATGGTATATCTGAATTCCAAGAATTTGCCCGTGGCAGACCGAAAGTCCTTGAAATCTTTCATTAAAAAAAACCAAACCCCGTAATGAACTAAATACAAACATAATATTCATATTGCTACCCCATGTTGTTCATTTTATTACATCTTGTGTAATTTAAGCAGTTGTGTTTTTTGTATTGAAAATATTTAGCTATTACAGAAGTCTTTTTGATGTGAGGGAGAGGGGAACTAGACAGAGGTTTTGTAGCTAAATAGGGAATTGTTAGGGCTTTTTTGCAGCCAGGATGATATTAAAAGGAGTTTGGGCTTTTGGAATAAATATATTAGTTGTGGGCTTTTGATAAACAATCTCTAATGATCCTAGATAATTTTTCATTTAAGGTTCAGGGTGAATATCCTATCCAAAGGATTGAGTTCAGACTTTCTGCAGATGCAAGAAGCTATCGTTGCATCAGTTAACACTTCATTTTTTCAAGGTTTTGTTCACAGTCATGAGGACCAGAAAATGAGGTGTTTGCTGATCCAAAATGACATAGCTCTGGTGGTTCAAACAGTGCAACACCATCTTACACTAGTGGAATATCTGGCCCATGTTTATTTAATTAAAAGCTTAGATTTCGGAGCACGATTTTGTTGCAAATTCCATTGCAGCAACCTGAACAGTGAATACTGATCACGACTAATCACTGTCATTTTACACTTTTGCTTCAGTCTCAAAACCAGCTGTAAACAAGAACACCTAAATGTGTTCATTCCAGGCTCCAGGTCAGTTTGGGGGAGGGGTGAAGAGAGAGAAGGAAAGATTGAACACCTACTTCAGTCCTTAAAGCAATTCTGTTGCCATGCATTGAATGAAACAGGGGTTCTGGATACAATAATAGTATGAGATGGTATAATTAAAGGCTGTGTCAGTGCACGTGCACAAGATTGCATAGACAATCCAAAATCCTGTAACACTTGAGTAACTGGCTTTTTCAAATTTGAAAATGTTATTTTAATGCAGCTTATTTTCATGAAACATCTTTACTACATGGTCAGGAACAACAGTTGAGTTGGCCTAAGTCAACAGAAAAGGTTCTGATCTGGAAAGCTCCTATCACAGACAGGAAACAGGAACTGGGAAGTCAAAAGGAGAATTTAATTACATTCTCATATTCCAAAGAGTGCAGTTGCTTAAGGAAAACCCCTGCTTTTAAGCTCTTCATCAGTATTGTTTGTATACTATCAATGTACTATTTATAAAAACCTAACAGAAAAATGCTCCTCAGAAAATATGTTCCTCCTGCTAAAATTGTTTTGCTTACCCTGTTCCTCTCCAAATTCAATTTGCCTCCTGTAGTTCTACAGCTCAGCCCATTGCTGTTGGCTAAGAGAAGCAGAATAGTTCCATGTATGTTGACAAACATCCCTTCAAGTATATGTATGAAAGGAGATTTGCTAACACCAGAGCAGTGCTGGGACAGATCAGATTTAACAGGTCCAGGAGATCAGCCCACCTGACCCAAGAGCCTGTTAAACAGTGATTGGGACCTGATCTACACCACAACTTCCTTAACCAGGAGGTCAAGTGAAGAGGGTTAGAGCAATTGACCGGTTCTTAGTCATGGCACATGGTTACAATCCTACAGATACATTCTACATGTGCTATTTACTATGGCTGTGCAAAATTTTGCTGCAAGTTTTGTTTCAACGCTATTTTGACCCATTTCAAGGTCGAAACAGCAAAATGGAAAAGGAACAGATACCGTCAAAACAAAATGAGGTAAGTTGAAATGTTTTGACGCTGTTTCGATGTTTCGCCCATAGACTATAATGGGGAAAGTTGAAACAGCCTATAGCTTTGTCATTTCTGGCCTGGATGAAACTTGCAGGAATGGTACCCAATTCTGAGGGCATGACGCCTGCCAAGTTTCAAGGAGATAGGTGCAGGGGTTCTGGGGCCCTGCACTTCTAGCTGTTGACAGGCAAAACTCATGTCATGGGTGCTTGTGCAACTGTGTCTGTCTTGGGGCACCAGGGTGGGGGAAAGAACTACTGCAGGCCTGGCTGCTAGGCCCTGCTGCAGCCACAAAGCCTGCCAGCTGTCAAGGAGATAGATGCAGGGGGGTTCTGGTGCCTGGAAGAACTGTTTCAAAGCCATGTCTCCTAAGACTTAGGTTCCAGCTGTTCATAGATTCATAGATTGTAAGGCTGGAAGGGACCTCAGAAGATCATTGGGTCCAGCCCCCTGCACCAAGCAGAAAAGACAACTAGGGGTCAGGTGACCCCAGCAAGATGACCGTCTAGTCTCCTCTTGAAGATTTTCAGAGTAGGTGATCACACCACCTCTGGAGGGAGCTTATTTCACAGTCTGGACACTCTAGTTGTGAAGTAGTTTTTCCTAACATTGAGCCTGAAATGGTCTTCCAGGAGTTTGTGACATTTTATTCCTAGTTTTCCCCAAGGGTGCTCTAGTGAATAGTTGTTCACTGAGCCCTAGATGTATGCTTCTGATGTAGCGGTAAGCTGCTACCAAGTCCCCTCTCAGCCTTCTCATTTTCAGGCTGAAGAGTCCCACGTCCCTCAGCCTTTCCTCATATGGCTTGCCATGCAAGTCTCTGATCATATGGTTATCCCTTCTTTGGACTCTCTCAAGCTTTACCACATCCTTGTTAAAGTGCAGAGCCCAGAACTGGATGCAGTACTCCAGCTGTGGTCTCACCAATGCTGGGTAGAGCCAAATAGAGCAGGAGAATCACTTCTTTGCAATGGTTTTGCTGGAGATGCATCAATCGATGCATGCCAGGGTATTGTTGGCCCTGCTATCTACAGCGTCGCACTACCGGCTCATGTTCATACTGTGGTCAATTATTACCCCCAGGTCTGTGGTGACAAGTGATAGGGGATCTTCAGTCCTGCTGCCTGAAGAGAGGCAGCAGTTGCCTAAGCACTAACAGGGTTTCCCCCCCACCTGTGCCCCAAGAGACACAGTTGCACAAGCACCCATGTCACAAGTTTTGCCTGTCAACAGCCAGAGGTGCAGGGCCCCAGAACCCCCGCACCGATCTCCTTGACAGCTGGCAGGCTTCATGGCCTCAGCAGGGGCTAGCAGGCCTGCAGCTTTCACCCTGCAGTGCCTTAACACACAGCGTCACCCATGTCACGAGTTTTGCTTGTCTGCAGCTTGAGGTACAGTTCCCCGAACCCCCTGCACCTATGTCCGTGAAACTTAGCAGGTTTTGTGGCCTCTGCAGGGGCTAGCATGCCTGCAGTTTTGACCCCACTGTGGCTTGCCACGTACACAAGACATTAGTTTTGCTTTCAGGACTTTGGGGTGCAGTTTCTCTGAACCCCCTGGACCTATCGCCTTGAAACTTACCAGGAATCATGCCCTCAGAAGGGGCTACCATTCCTGCAAGGTTCATCTAAATAAGGCCAGAAATGACAAAGTTATAGGCTGTTTTGACCTTTCCCATTATATCCTATGGGCAAAACACTGAAACTGTTTTGGTGTTTCAACGGAATGGAACAGAACAGCCGTTTCGAATCGAAACAAAATTCGGAACGTAATGCTGTTCTGTTGAAACCCTGGTCAAAATGGAAAGCTGCCGTTTCAC